ATCGAATCAATGCCTAGGCGAATACAAGCATGTATTAAAAACAACGGGGGTCATATTCTGTATTAATATATTTCGATTAAAAGGAGTTGTATGTGCGTTTAAACTTTATTGCACTTTTTTCTAAGTAATCTTTTGATTACTTGAGTTTGTTGTTTAATTTTAGAAAAGATTTTGTGTTTTTCTTATTCAAAGTTGTGTTTTTTTCTTAATTAATAATCGACTAAGAATAAAAAAAAAAAAAACCTGGACCCTGCCTCATGTTTTCTCTTTGTATCACTTTAAACATACCTTAGCTTTAAAAAAAACAAGTGCGTTTAAACTTTCTGTACAAGGTGTATATATATATATATATATATATATATATATATATATATATATATATATATATATATATATATATATATATATATATATATATATATATATATATTGTATTTTAGGTGTCCCAAAAAGACCTAACAATCTTGTCACAGAGCACCATGGAAATGCATTTAACTAGGATGTTCATGCCTCCTTCCTTATCATGACGTGAAATATGTTCAATGCTCATTTCAAACCTGGATCTCCTGCTTAAAAAGCAAGTGCTCTAATAACTGCGCCAAGCCACATATATCTTTGCAAATCAGAGCTTAATTTGGCTTGTCATTGTGAAACCGTGTTTAATTTTGTGTTGATTTCATCTTCATCTTCAATAAATGAGTTGAAACTAAATTCCAGTGAGCAAATCCAGGTTGCATAAAGTGCATCTTGAAAGCTTTTATTCCTTTTGGAATATAAGTTTGAAAGCTCTCATTACTTCTCTTCAATTTTAAGCCAAGCCTCATGCTATTCTACATTTTTCACCATATTGTACAGTTGCTTTATTAAACAATAATTTGTTCATCTTTTTTACAAGAACATCTCTCTTAAGAACAAATGTCCTTTTTATTATTGCAAGAAGCTAATCTAAAAAAAGTCCCGTCTAATGTTAAGCTCTGTTATTCTCATTTTACTAAATCTTGTATCTTATTTCAGATGTTAAGTTCTAGAGACTTTTGGTTAGTCTCCAACAATGTCATAAACTAAAGTAAGACTAAAATTTAATCTCTAATTCATAGGTCCTTTTATTTTTCCCCAGAAAATTCTAGGATTATGTCTGGTAAAAAATTTTAATGCTATGTTAATGATTAGGTTAAAAGTGGTCCTCAACAACAAAAAAGCTTATTGCTATGCAAGCTTCATGTTCATTTAAAAAGTAAACATCCTAATTTTAGAATAAGATTTTCAAAACTTTGTAGCTTGTACCTACAATGATTATACAAATACATATACACATTGTATGCGTTTGTATACACCATCAAAACTCAATGTGCTCATACATGTCATCCAATGCAATGATACATACAAAGATTTAATGTTAAAATTAGTATGTGATATAAACAATAACGAATGCATAGTTTATAGATGTCCAGGTTTTGATAGCTAAAAGGCATTTTTTGATGAGAAATTAAGTGAGATGAATGAAGAACTTGAATGACCATGGTACATGCTAAGTGTACTAGTTTATCTAATGTTCTGATATTCTGTGTTGTTATGATGTTCAGATGTTCTGCTCATTACAAAAACTACAAAAAAAATTTAAATCTATGCTAACATATCAAAGATATCCAGATGACGGGTACATTATTATTTAAATGGATACTTTTTGCAACCTGCCTTAGAAAATTCCCTTGTAATGGTATAGGTGGTACAACAATAAGAGTAAGTTTTTAAAAATCATTTGAAAATCAGTTATTGACAATAACTGTTGATGTGTCAACTGTCGATGATATGTTTGATTTTGGTATAACGAATGTAAATACAATCACATTTTGTAAAAATCAAATTATAACCTATTGTAGTTAAAGCTATTAAATTAAGTGGGTTTTCCCAGGTTAAATTATCTACTTGTTTTACTTTTTTGAAAAACTAAATTAAGTCATTTCAGTCACATCTTCTTTTGAGAGAAAGCAAGTTAGTCTTGCTTAATAGTTTTTTCAACAAGACATACAAGACATTTAGCAACAAGGTACAAGACATTTTACTTGTGTTGCTTTATATTGTATCTTTAAAAAAAAAAATTTCTTGTTTTAAGTAAGAAAAACAAACTCAAGTTGCATAGTCTAGATACGGTCTTATGAGGAAAGTGTACAATAATTTATAATAGTTTATATAAGTTTTAAAATAAATGTTTTATTAACCTTAACACTTTATTAGCTTTGTCAGACACAAAATTTCAGAATATATAAATCTTAAAAAGTCTAAAAACTAAAATCTTTATTTTATTTAGCTCTTGTACAAAACAGGAGGACATTGGTCACCTTAAATATTCTATAAAAAGTAAATATAATATTCTATAATACTCACATAAAATTCATAGAATTGACAAATAACATTTATTCATGTTATTTGTAAATTCACGTTATGTACTAAAACTCCTATGAATTAAACGCACTTGAATAAATTATTAAGTCTGTATAATACGCCTGGAAAATTGTGTTTATTTTACAGACTTCAAATACCGCAGAAAAGACAAGTTTTGACTAAAACAGCAAGATTTGTTTTTCTTGGTATGCATTTTTTAATTAGTTTTAATTTAAAAAAATTTGCTTAGACAATTTTTTTTTAACATTCTCTTTAATATCAACACAACATGTATCGGGACTTGGCGGTCCCTTTAAAGTCAGGCAAAAATTGAAGTGTTTGGTCTTTAAAATGTTTGCATAGATCTTGGCCTTGAAACTCTTAATTTTAGCCTTATTCTTGGCCTTGTAATTTTTGGCCTTGGTCTTGGCCTTGGCTTTGTAATGTGTGGCCTTGACCTTGCTACTTTTGGTCTTGTTAACAACTCTGACAACAACAAAAGGGACAATTTGATGTGGTCAAAACTGTTTCAGTTACATTGCTCTCAAGTTAACAATTTTTTTTAACTTTGATTGTTCATAATTTCAGTTTTATAAGTAAAAAATTTGAATAGATTTGACCTTTTTATTTTTTGTTTTTGTTTTAGAAAAGAATCTTATTATTCATAACAGCTCCAACTAAACTATTCAGGAAAACAACTTAAAAAAAAAAGCATTTTTGTAAACAAACTTGCCCAAGCAAAATTGTGTAAATTTCAGGTGCTATGTTCATTTTCAAATATATTTTAAGTTATTTTATAGGATTCCTTACCCCTAAAAATTCAAATGAATTTAGCTTTCCATTACACACAGAACAAAAACATGGAATAACATTTTTTTTTTTTAATGGCAGATTTTTGTTGGTTCAAAGCAAAATTAAAACAATTGTATCTTTGAAACCCTACGGAATTAGATGATGAAATTTCAGAGATTTCAATAATCAATAAATTAAAATCTTTGAATGTTTTCACATAAAATTGCTCTTAAGCACTTGCTAAATAGAAGATTAATAAAGAGAGTTCTGGAAAACACTTGCAGGCCTCGGCAAGTTTTGGCTTTCGCTTCCTGCCCCCCACTCCCTTAAAACATTTTACAAGAGCAATTTACAGCTCTCACAAAAGTGTTTTTTTTCTCTCAAAAGTATAATTATCATTGTAACTAAAATTAAAAATGTAAAGCTAAAAAAATTTAATTAATTGGATAATAAACAGGCACGGTTTTTGCAAAAAAAAATTACGTCTAAAGAATTTTTTCAAGGCACAATAAATGGCATTTGTTATGTGTATATTATTGTAACATTAAAGTTACAAACATATGCTTGTAACAAGTATAAAACCAAATTTTGTATTTAATAAGCAACTTTTATATATAAAAACAGATAGCTTGTGAAAAAACTAAAAGCTCTCATAAAAAGCAGTTTAGAGGAGCAGCTCACATGGCTTGCCATATTCGTTTTAAGAGAGCTTTTCCACTCTCATACTCACTTACTCCCACCGAGGTTTGAGACTGCGACAGGAATCTCGTATGAACCACATGCTGTAGAAGAGTTTAAAAAAGAAATAACATTAGCAACAGAAGCCAGAGTGATTTATATGCCTAGAAATGAATTAACCTGTTGTTTTTTTTTAAATAATAGGAATAGTGGCCATTAGATTAAAGAGACAAATCAAAGATAAAGTTCTTTGAAAATAATTCATTGTTAATTCATTTGTTAATGACATTGTTAACTTACGAGATAAATTACGAGATTTAGTTAACTGAGAAATAATAAAAAGTTTGTTTCAGGAGATGAAATATGAATTAAAATGATTATGAATAAAATGATTAAATTTTGAACAAAACAAAAAATTGAAAACCATAAAACAGAATAAGACTTAAAATAAGATTTAAAACCAACAAGAATAAAAACTTTCATACTTGCCTGGGTCAAGGATAAGTAAAAGGGACAATTTTCAATGGAGAGACATAAGAGATTAACCTAAGGACCATTACAAAGAAACATTACAAAGATAATCACAAATGTCACCTCAACATTACTCTATTCAAAAGATAATAGTAACAAGGGTGAACCTGAAGAAGAGAAGTTCAAGATAAGTTTTAGTGATATATATATATATATATATATATATATATATATATATATATATATATATATATATATATATATATATATATATATATATATATATATATATATATATATATATATATATATATATATATATACTATTATACTATAGATCATCTAGGTCGTATTTTAAAAATCCGAAAAATCGTTAGGGTAAAATATTCTGAAAAAATCTGGAATACATTTTCCTTTATATTCCTTTCAATTTTGCTTTAAGCTGAGTTGTTTTTAATTTTTTTTTAACTTTTCTTAATTTTTGTATGAGTAATGAGTAAAAAAGCTTAAAAAATAAATATATTACAAAAATATATTCCTAAACTTGTATATATTGAATACATTTTTGATACCCGGAAAAACTTAAAGTTGACAAAAATATACGGAATTTCAGTAATATCCTGAAAAAGATAATCCCTGATATATACTGAAAACAATACTGAAAACTTATAACATACCAGGTATGTAGTCTTTCAAAATAAACTTGATTTTCTTTATATTATCTTTTAATAATTCATCAGCCAATGAACATAAAAATTGATTCCAACTACTGATATGAGGATTCATAATTTTTGTCAAATGCAACTTTACTGCAATGATTTTAAATGACTCAAATACAACATTGAATATGAACTTAAATAATAACAAACAGTTGTTGCTTTATTGATGCTCAACTTCAAAACATGATGGATTGATGCTCACCTTCTAAAACAAAAATAAACTAAAAAAACTCTGTTAAGCTCCTTTAATATATAAAAAAAATGTTTGTGTAATGTTCTTATATTCTATTAAAAATATGTAAGTGTAAACTATTTCTTTTTTAATTTATATTTTTTATTTGTTTTCAGGCTTTTTAAAAGTATTTTTACTTTCCCTGTGACCAATAAAATCATTTTTTTAGGTACATTTAGATATTAAATAGATATTTTTTGTTATTTTAATAAAAAGCATTTTTTCAAAATTAGAATGCCTTTTTTTTAATTGGTTAAATAACTAATTACTTTTTGAAAACTAAATTTTTTATTTGATAAATTTATTAATTTACCAACCCATCATTGTTTGGAAATAATACTAATAATTTTTAAATAATAAAAATATAAATAAAAAAAAATTAAAATAAATAAAAGTTATTTCAATCAATAACATTCAATAATGCATCATTGTAGCAATAACAATATTAAATTTATTTAAATATATTAACCATGGTTATAAAAATATATTTATAAAAAAATATAACTAAAAATATATACAATCTAATACAATTAATATTGCGTGAAATTTTGTTCTAAACCATACTGCAATAGGTAATTTAATTGAATATGTGAATTATATAGAATTAAATTTTGTTTGTTTACAGACTTCAATCACCGTGACCTTTTGCAATACATCCTTATTTTTATAACATGAGGATATAAAAATTTATATACTTTTCTTTTTGTTCTAAAAGTATAAAATCACCATACCAATGCTGAAGCAGATTAAAGTTTACTCTTATTACTGCAACTAAATCCCAATTATGATAGACAACCTCTATTATGTAATTTTTGTGTTATTGTGAAGTTAAAAAAAGATAAACTTAACATGAAAAAGCATACTTTTAAAAATGATTCACATTCAAATTTACTTTTAGGCCTGTTATTTCTCTCCTTCTACCTTTCTCCCCATTTCCCCACAAGAGCTAACATTCAAAAATTGTTACAAATTTTTAGCATTGAACTTTTTAAATTTTGAGACATAATTTGTTACTAACTTGAAAAAAACTTCATAAAATCTTTTGATGCCAGTGTTATTTCATTTTTTGATGCCAAAAAATATTAGCAGTAATTGTGGAAACTTTTAGAATATTTTGATGAAGACTAGTTGGTTTATATTTTTAATAATTAAAAAAAAAAATTCTTAATTTGTTGTTTATAAATTGTCTTAATTTTGTTAATTTGTTGCTTGTCTTTACCAAAGCTTTACTCAAACTCGTCCCACTTTACCCTAATAGCACGGTTCCTCTAAAATCAAAAATATATACACTTTATTATAAGATTAATTATAAAAATATATACACTTAATTATAAGCCTTTATTATAATTAGTGCCCGAAATGATGCTTCATAAGTCAAGACTTGTTTGATTCAGTTCATATATTATATAAAATATAAACGATATTAAAATTATTTTAAAACTCATTTTTAATGTTCTAAATCTTCCAGCTCTCGCCTACATAAAATTTTAAATAAAATAAAAAATTCCACAATTTTTTTTATTTAAGAATTTTAGGGTTTAAAAAGCACATGTTTTTCATAATCAAAATTGTTATGATTAAAATCAAACTCCTGCATTAGGTTGATCAGCCGCGGATTGAGATTAGCGACATAGGGGAGGGGGAAGGGGGAGGGGGTCAGAGGAATGAGTACGGTAACAATTTTTTATCGAGATGCTTTTACGTGCCTTTTATCATGACTATTAGGCCGGAATTAGGGTGTGCGTAGGTGGGAGGGGGGGGGGTTGAGTCAGACACTCAAACACTAGATCCTGGTCTGCAAAAAAAGAGTTTTTTTTAACATTATATTTTGCCGTTTAAAAAGTATTACAGTTTGCATAAATTTACAATTAAGTTAATGACTGGAACAAGAAGAAGGCATTAATTTGCCTTATCGCCGAGCACCGTGTGACAATTTATAATTTTTTACAAAGTTATTAAAGAATATATAGTATATAAAAAAATTTGAATAAATCTTTACAAGAATATAAAAAATAAAATAAGATATCGTTTAATACATAATATCATAAAACGTAAAAATGAATATATATAAATTTATATACACATTTGCACACTTACACATATAAGCGAACATATACCCATATATATGAACATACACAAACACACATATATAAATACATACAATGTATATATATATATATATATATATATATATATATATATATATATATATATATATATATATATATATATATATATATATATATATATATATATATATATATATATATATATATATATATATATATATATATATATATATATATATATATATATGTATATATATATATATATATATATATATATATATATATGTATATATATATATATATATATATATATATATATATATATATATATATATATATATATATATATATATATATCGAAATCCATACTGATGATCAGAAAGTAAGTTATTAGATTCAAGATGAGAGATAAAGTGTTTGTTAACTAAAGATTCAAAAATCTTGCTTATGATAGGAAAAAGACTAATGGTACGGTAGTTAGACAAATCAGATCGCTCTCCAGAATTTTAAAAAATAGGGATAACAGATGCTGCTTTCCACCAGACTGGAAAACTAGACTCTTATAATCATTTGTTGAATAATTTTGAAAGGATAGACGACAGCTCCGGAAAACACTTCTGCAAGACTATAACAGGTATGTTGTCCGGGCCACAAGTGGAATCAAGAGATGATAAGAAGTTCTAAGCAAACACCTTAACTTTGTCTTTAGGTGAGATGAAAAAGTCTAAACCATACAAGTAAGGTGGAATAACAGATTTGTCTATATTATTGATGCTGTTAGAGATTCTCCAGAAGTCACAAAAGACAAATTTTTGTAATGAAATATGAGATTTCATGACCTGAAAATAGCGGACTTTGGCGTTAGACAAAAGCTGTTTACAATGGTTTCTAGCAATAGTAAACTGACGTCTGTTTTCTGAAAAATTGTTTTGCTAATAGATATGAAAATAACGATTTTGATTGGAAATTGCAACAGCACAATGTGAGGAATACCATGGAGAAGAGTGACACTTGACCTGGAATTGCCGAGAGGGAATAAAAGATTCTATGCCAGCCTGAATCCACAAAGTTATGTAAAAGAAGCGCATTTGTCAGCAGGAAGACAAAAGATTTTTACCTAAGAGCCATCACGAAGAAAATTACGGAAAGAGTCCCAGTCAGCTTTAAGGTAGTTGCAAAAGGTACAATTATAGGGGGATTCAGATGATGAAGAAGAATGAGATAATAGTTTTAGAGAGACCAAACCATGATCAGAAGCACCTAAAGGTGAATTTGAAGAAACTGAGCACAGACTAGGATAAGAAACAAGACATAATTCGAGCAGAGAATGTAAATGGTTTGGATTGTCTGAAAAGCGAGTTGAAAAGTTGACTGTTTGAGTTAGAGATTGAAAAAGACCAAAGTTGTGGGCTTTAACGCCTGCAGAGTCACTGACACTAGAGCCAAGCCATTTAGTGTGATGAGCATTAAAGTCTCTAACAACAACGATATTGGCTGATGGATAGAGAGGGCTTGGTCAATATGATCAGAAATAACATCAAAAAGAGTGCAGTCTTGAGATGATTGAGAGCGATGTAGAACAAAGAGAAAGGCGATAGAGTGAAGTAGTGCTAAACGAAAGCATATAAAAGAACAGTCTTTGGATTCAAACCTAGTTTGCCAATAAATGGGTGAATTCTTAAAATGTAAATGCCCAGGCCAAGCATGTGACTATTGGGATCTTTACGAATTAAAGGAAAATAACCTTCAACACTAAGATCACAAGATGAGACAGCCGAAGTCGAATTAGTCTCACAAAGACCATGTAGTTCTGGTAAACTTGGCAAGAAATAAGACTAAACTGAAGAAAAGTTACTTCAAAAACCACGAATTTATGAATGAAAGGTTTAGAAGGGGTGCAAGACTGTTCAGCAGGTAGAATCCATTTACCATTCAAGTAAATTGATAATTAATAGATAAGAAATAGATAGATATATAATAGAGTTATATAGATAATTGAAATACATTTAAATCCGATTTGAAGTAAAAGTATAAATTGATATAGATGCGGCTACATTAACCGTTACAGGTTTTATATCTCGGTTTATACTGCTCTTTTAACTGTTTTTCGAACAATTTTCCTAAAGTGAAAATTTATATTGTTAGAAGTTACAATCAAACCAAAAATTATCTGATCTTCTTTATTGCTTAATTCCATTTATTCGAGGCCCATAAGATTAATATACTCTTTAAACACCACTAAGATGCCAGTATTATAGTTAGATTAGACTTTTTTTTATTTTTGGTAGTATAATAATATTTTTTTTCTTTCAGTACAAAGAGATACAGACAAAAACAAAAAGTTAAAAAAAGTTTATTATTGGTTTAATTTTTTTAGAACTCCGTAATTTATCTAAAATAAGATGAAAATAAAATAAGATGAACAGCTTGAGCCGAAATAATAAAATCTGTGTGCGTTTGATTAGTATCAATTATAAATACTGTTGTAGAAACGTCAACTGACCGATATTTAGATAAAAATAATAGAGCACAAACTTAAATGAAAATAAATTTAAAGACCTTAACATAGTTGATGCTCTTATTTTTCTAAACAGTTTAACTGGTATTTTTTACAGTTGACATCTTGGCCATGTATGATATAGTGCAAAAAATTATGCTTTTTAATTAGACATTGATTCTGAATCTGAAAAGAGTTCATAGAAGAAGACTTTTTCCAAAAGTTTGATTCTTATTTATATTCTCAGATGATATTTAATTTTCATACATTTTACAGATCAGTATACAAAAAATATTTAGATTTTCTCCGGTTTTATTATCTTCTGAGAATTTGAAAAAGTGTTATGCAACTAATGAGCCATTGTTTATTTTATTAAAAGCACCGTTAAGAAAAAAATTTTAAAATTATTCCTTCTAAGTTGCGGTGCATCTATCATAGGTGATTGTGATGGAATTTATTCTGAGTTTTTAGTTTTAATTTGTCGTTGGAAAGGTATTTATAATTTATCAGAAATTTTTAAAGTCATGCACGAGAAACTTTTGCCAACTATAAACAAAAGATTAGGATTAATATAAACTGCCCCCATAGGTACATCATTCAAGACACCCATAGGTACATCATTCAAGACACCCATAGGTACATCATTCAAGGCAACCATAGGTACATCATTCAGATTTTAAAAAAACGCACGAAATTTACTTTTCTGCTAGTTTATACAAATTTTTTTTTGCAAGATTTTCATTTCAGTAAGAAAATAACGTTTGTTGAACGACTTAAAGACATAGTATGGACTTGTAACGCTTATAAGACGTTGTAGAACATCCTACGGACGTCTGTGCCCGTTGAGTTGTAGCAAAAAAATTCACTGGCAATTCAAGGTGAATGCTCTCAGCAAGCTTATGGGGAAGGGTAAAGAGGAAGTACCTTACGGATTTTTTCCCCAAAACATTTTTAACACATAAAAACAAATCTAAATTGCCGCACAATACTAAAATCAGTTAACTTATAATTTTTTGTTTTTCTCCATTAAAAAAAATAAAAATATTTCGTTTACCGTGTTGTTGTCTAGTTTTCTATTTCCGCTTAAAATAAACGCAAAACTTTTTAATGAATAACTTAATGATTTGGTACAAATTTTATGCAACAAGTTGACTTTTCAATGAAAAGTACGTAAAAAAAGTAAAAGTACTTTAACTAGATTTTACGGGTGTGAACCGCATAAAAGACCGATTTAGGTTTTTCTGCTAATACCTTTGTATTTATTGTTATAAAAAATAAAATGATATGTTATATAAATGTGCTTTCTTATTACCTTTTTTATTAAATCTTTATTACCGGTAAACTAAGTTAATCCGGAAATTAAGATAAAAACCTTCGGTCTTCCTTTTTTTTTTTTTTTTATTAAATATATACAAGAATCAATATATGATGTCGGATAGCATATATTTTGAAATAATTTTACACAGGGTATCAGATGTCCTGCGTAAAATTATTCAATGGCTCACGGATTAATAACTTTTAAAAGTTTTTAATTAAAGGATTCATAACCTATTTTCTATTTTCCTTAATAAGCGTGCGACGCTAAGTGCGTCGCAACATTTTTCTCAAATGAAATCTCAAAATCCAAAAAAAGCAAATTTTTATTTTTTTATTTTTTCAATTTAAACCAATAATCATTTTTTCTTACAATATCTTTTTAGCTAAATTTAATTAAGTTAAAACATCTGTTATAGTATGTAAACTTATCCTTATATAATTCTTTATAACAAAATACAATATTTCTAAGGGTTATATATACCCTCGTTATTCAAGTAATACCAAGTAATATTTTTAGCTAAATATATTTAACAAGTATTATATTCATAAACAAAAAATATTTTTTAAAGGAAACCCTTGTTCTGTAAACTTGTTCGTTAAACACTTTCTGAAAGTATTTAATTGATTAAATTTCAATTTACGACAAAAGTTTAATAAAAAAATAAAAAATTTGTTTATTTTATTTTCATTTGCATTAGTTTTCATATTTCATTTCGTTTGACCAATTGTAATGGCAAGAGAAACAGGTGATATTACTTTGGAAAACTTACTTAGCTTAGCTTTGGGAACACCAGAAATAGGAGCAGTAAATTTTAACTATCTGTTTGATGTTATTCTACAAATATTAAAACATTTAGGTAAGTGTAAAAATTTAGGTAAAAATTTTATAATTATTATTATTGATAATTATTTTTAAAATTTATTTATAAGACTATATGTGATTGATTATTGTGAAAATACTATTTTTAGTTGTGTTTTTTTTTTTTTTTTTTTGAGGATTTATCAAATAGTTTATTATGGTGAATAAACTTTTACTTTTAGAAATTTTACTTTTTAAAAAAGTAAAATTTTACTTTTTAAAAAAGAAAAATTTTGTTCTTCCTAGCAAACTTCATCTTTTGTTTCTTTGAGTAAGAAGTTGTTATATTGGTTTTTACCGCATACTGCCCGGTGAAAATAAATTAGCGATTTTTGAGCGATGTTTTTCCTACATTGTTTCATTTTGTATACCGTAAAACCCATTTTGTATATATTGACTTTGATAGTGGAGGTGACTTTGATAATTTTGTTTGATAGCTACAAAAGAATTTTCCAGAAAATATAGTTGTAAAATAACCACTAATTTCAATTTTATTTCTGATATATAATTATATTCTACTAATATTTTTAAAATTATAATGATTTTAAAGTGATTCTAACTCGTGGAAATGTATTTAGATTAAACTGACTCAAACAACAAAATAACGATTTTTTAACGATGTTGCCTAAAAATGCCTAAAACGTTATAATTTTAATTTTTTGCCATTATTTGCTTTTTAAAAATCCATATCTAGATGTTCAAATGGTATACTCCAGTTATAATACCACTGGAATGGTATTATAACTGGTATATGCCATTTGTTTATGGTTACTTAATGACCGATACTCAATATAGGAAAACTCAAAATTTGATATCAAAATATGAGAAGTTTACGCAAAACTTGTTATCATAAAAATTCCGCTATATTTATTTAATTTAATTATATTTTAATAAAAAAACATTTTATTATTATTTTAACTAATTATATTCTTATTATAATATAAATAATATTTTATAATTATTCAAAAACACTTTCTATTTATATAGTAAAGTTAAACTATATCGGATAAATAAACATTTTTGGTTAAATTGATAGATGTCATATTATATATATATATATATATATTTAAATATAATTTCAATATTACATTACATAACGCTTTAAAAAAAAGTCAGTATTTAGTCATATTTTTTTTGAAAAAAATAATAGGCAGCAAATATTTAGGTAAAGCCTTAACAAAAAGAAATTAAGAAAATGTCCAAATTTGTAGATTGATCTTTGACAGATATATATTCAGAGAGATTGAGATATGGGCTCGGCTATAGCATTGCTTTAACTTGACAATTTGGTTTTCGACCAATATACAGACTTGATCTAAAAGTCACTTTTTGAATGTTGCATTCTGCTTCTTTTCCAAATAAAATTTAAATTTATTTACCGTCTGAAAACAATGTTGCGGAGCTGAAAATAATAAACAAAAATATTAGTCACCAACAAAAATACAAATTATTGCCTAAATATTAACAAAATAAAAATGATTTTTACCTTATCAATAAATTTGTCTTATATTAAGTTTTGCAATTTTTTTTTCTGATAAGAGTTAATTATTGCCATCACACAAGCTTTATTGCAATTCAAATTGCAGTTATAAACCTAAAAAACCTAAAAAAACAAACAAATAAATAAACATTATATCTCAGACTTACACAAAAGCATTGAAGAATATTGCAAAATTAAATCAGTTTGTATAAGTTTACAGTAAAAATTGAAAACTAGGCCAAGCTTAGTATTTAAAAAACACTAATAAACAGTTCCTAAAAGTTTCTAAAAGATGTTATATAATTTAAATTCATTCAAAAAATTCAAAAAGGTTAAATGATTTGTTATTTTAAAATATAAATATACAATTAGTAATTGTAAATAAAGCTTGTGGGTCCAATGAAGTAAATATAAATAAACTTTGTTCTGAAAACTTATCAAGTGGTACTATATAATTGACAGTGCTGTCAATTATATAGCAACAAAGTTTAACAAATAATGATCTTTCTAAACTCTGGAAAAAAAGCACAGACTCATAATAGAACATGTCATTGTACCACAACATAATTAAATAATAACACATTTGCTTATGTATAAATTTATTTAACTAAGTTGATTGTAAATTTTTTTAAATTTAATATTTTGGTATTGTATATTACTATTTTACCTGACATGAGCCATTGTCATAATTTTATTGAACTTAAAATTTCATAAAGCATCGTATCTTGAAATACACCGCAATTATAATATAAAAAAATTTTTAAATATTAATTAATATTAAAATATTACTTTTTCAATATACAGGTAGAGTTCCCTTAAAAACACATACCCCCTTAAACACTACACGTATAAACTTTTAGCTCTGGGTTCCACAAATGACAATGGAATTATTAAATAATGATTGAATTTTTAATTAATTTGTCATCCAGTATCTTTAAACATCCTGGATGACAAATTAATTAAAAATTTACCTCTTATAATTTTAAAATCCTCAAAAAGAGAATGAAAATCAAATTTTTAGTTTTAAAAATTGCTCAATTTATGCATATTGACCTCCTACTGTTTAGTAGTTTAATTTTAAGTT